GTGAAGACACTAGCCATTTCGGTAGTGCAATATGAAGCTGCTGTCGGTCAAGTTGAGGCGGAGGTAGATAAACCGAACGATTCCGACATGCGTGACACTGATAACAAACCTCAGAGATGAAGTTATTGGTAACACATCCAATGAACCTATGACAAGCACGCCAATGACTACTAAGGAACACTCACACAACCGCCCAAAACGAAGGCGCATTAAAAAGCCTGCCTCTTGCAACTCCGACGTGCCAAGACATCAACCCGGAGAACGTCCTAAGGAAGACAGGCAACCCCCACCCTCCCTGCTATTTAACAAGTGTTCATCTCAGAACAGACAGATGGCACCCTTAAACGCAATATCTAAAAATTATGTACCACTGTTGGAGACCACGACTACCAACAAACAAGCGTCGTCCCCTGGAAGCCATACTTGCTTCCAACTCTAACTGCTCGCTATATAAAAGCCAATTTCTTCAGCCACATCCGGAACATGCGCTACTCCCGCCCCGCTCCTGGTACCGCTAACGCGAGCAACAATATTGCCACACTTCACCGCCCCCATCCCGACCAGTCTTTTAACCCTAGACTGTTCAATACAACACGGTCCGCTGGTGAATCCACACCCTACCCCCTAAGGCCGCAATTTCCGCGGTGCTATCAAGCGGAAAGTAACTATAATCAACTGCAGGTACCCCGCTACAAACCTGCTTCTTATAGAACACCCCGCGAAGTAACGAAACACACCACCCCACCCTCGCCTGCAAAGCTTAAGCGCCCGCGCCCTTCAAGCCCAATTATTACTGAACTGCCGAACAAGTCAGTACGCATCGCCGCTCCTTTTTTATGGAATATGGTGGGCTACGGCTCGCCACAACTCACGCGACTGTTGGACGAGGCTGCACTCTACCATCTTTACAGGCTCTTAAACATCCCACCGATGCCCTTAAGCAATCGCTACCCACCCCTGCAACAACTCATGTTGTCGTCAGCTCATTAAAAGCTAATTCCAGAAATAGCATGCATTATCAGTCCCTATCTCCCCAGGAGAACATGCTCAAAAGTTCCCCCGCTGCGCAACGCAACGGCCCCGGCTTAATGGCAACGCCAGTTTCTTCTTCCCCTGAGACACTTCTTGTCACACTTACGAGCTTGTCTTCCACGCATCCAACCGACGATCCAACCAGGAGACTCACCATTGCACGCAAACATGCCACCAACCGTCTCCGACTCTTGGAATGCGATATAGACACCGCAGTAACCAACCCACATCTGGCAGAAATATACTCCTCAGGACGGCACGCCCACTGTACTCCATCTTCTACTGCTTTCGTACAACGTAACCCCGCCAATACCTTAGCCATCGCCAGTAACCTTCCCCACTCCCACAAACCTGTCTCCTCTGTTTCTTTTCAGCGCGGTAACCATGCAGTCCCACTCCTTCAACCCGACCTGCTCTATGATGACGCGGACAGTAAGATTTTGTCTGACCTCTGTAACCTTATAACTCTTATCACTCTTTCTGCGACAACAGCAACTATACCCACGCACACCACTCAGATTAATTCTGTCTCTGATAATGCAGCAGATGCTCAATTCTGCAATGAGGCACTCACTCTACTTTTTATTGACGCAAGGTCCATCAAACATAAGCTGCACCATATCAACCCCGTCATTATCCTATCCGCCCCCAGGTATTGCTCAGCACAGAAACATGGTATGATGTTAACACTCCCGATGCACAGCTGCGAATCCCGGGCTACACCTCCTTCAGCAATGGGCGTACCAACCACCGAGGTGGCAGATGCCTCATTTACGTGCATGACGATTTCGGGACGCCGTCGTTTCAAGAACTTTCAATGGGCCCTCTGCAGGACTCGGTTTGGATTCAAAGTAGTAGGGGACAGCACGATATCTTAATTGGCTCTCTGTATAACCCTCCACACACTAACACAATCGGCATACGCAATCTAGTGGAACTATTCACATAAGTATCCCTATTGCCTACGCACTATAAGATAATCGGTGGTGACTTTAACATGCCAAAATTGGCCTGGCAAACGCAATCTGCGCCACTCAAATACCTTGCCTTTGTGGACACCACATATGCATTTGGGTGGACTCAACACGTGCATGCACCCACTAGGCACAATAACACCTTAGATTTACTTTTTACAAACGGAGTTGCACATGCATCTGCTAGCGTGCTTGATAATCTCCCTGGATGCGATCACAAAATAGTAAAACTCTCTTTCCAACTACCCATCACTCGTCCCCCAGTGGCTAGACAAGCGTGTTCTTTTCGGCCCTTCAAACGCATCAATTGGACAAAATTTGCTCTACTTCTGAGATCCATTAGCTGGGATGCATTCTTTCTGGTTACAGATGCGGACACTGCCTCTTCTGTACCATATAGAAATCTTACCTACTGCCTGCATATACTTGCACCTATAACTAAACAAAAAGCAATACAGTCAGCGCAGGACGCAGCTCCCCTCGCAAACTACTCGTCAAGCTCAGAAAGTTGCGTTCAAAGTACAGCAGGACCGAAGATTACTTCCTCCTTACTCGCATCAATGAAGTCCTGTTGGAGTGGAGAAATTCACAAACTACCTCAAATCTGTCCGAAGAACAAACTGCCCTAAACTCTATCAACAGTATCAAAGCCCTCAATTCCCTGATAAGGCGCAGAAGCAACCCCGCTTCGAATTCCATTAACTCGATTGTTCGTCCAGACAACTCAGTTACCAGTAACCAAGCTGAAATATGTGAGGTCATGAACCGCTACCTCTGCGACTCCTTCACCTCTGCTAACCTGATCCTGCCTCTTAATATTCCTAGGTGCACCCATGATACTTTACGCGCGGTACCATTTGACCTGCGCACCACTACTCGAGAAGTTCAAGCCCTCAAATTATCCCTCTATGCCGGACCTGATGGCCTGCCATCGGCTCTGCTAATTCTAGGTGGCCTGGATATAGTCGTCCTCCTTCTTAACATTTTACCCATTCCATGAAACACGGAACCTTTCCC